CGATATATCGCCCAGCTCTGCTGCTGATGCAAATTTTCTTAATCGAAATTGCTCCGAAACAAAAAATACTAATCATATGTTTGAGATAACGAGTGGGAAACTTGAGAACCAACATGATTTTAGTCCATAAAGATACACCACACACGTGCACATTTAGAATGCATTTTATGGCTCATTTCTGCTGATGGGAATTTATTTAATCAAAATTTCGCCTAAATAAATATTATCCTTTTGACAATTGTACACATTTTAGATAACAAGTGAGGGGATTTAATTTTAGGAAAGGTAATTTCAAGTTCTGTTTGACAACTTTGTTGTCATTTCAAGTTCATAGTAAAGGTCAAAGGTCAACAGACCTTAATATACTCAAATTAAAAAAAGGCCAGTTTGGAATCCTCATTAAATTCTCTTTCCAATGACATGAAGTTTGTGAAGATTGACCCAGTAGTTCCTGAGATAATTGGGGCCGAAAATTGGTGACAATACAATTTTATTTTAGAAAATCTGAAACTTTGGGGGCCGTATCTCTGGAACCGCTGGTCCGATTGACCTAAAAATTTAAAAACTTTCGTGGGATCACATTGAACAAATGGGTCGAGTTTAATCCAAATCTGAGATGGTCGAGTTCAACTCGATGGGTGATTTGTCATGAAATGACCCCCGAGACATCACCACGGGCTCAGATACACTCAAAACAACTCAACACTCCTGAGTGGAATAGAGCGCCAAGCTCACCTAGAAGGCGGAAGAGCAACTGTTTGGTTGCGACTTGATAGTTGAAGATGTTGATGCCCTGATTGTTGGTGACTCCCAGTCGAGCCCCAGCCCTCACAATGGCACGGCACAGATTGGCATTTCCTTTCATGTAGGCCAGAAGCAGAACTGTAATAAAGCACAGCTCACATTCAGTCTATTATAAGAGTCACCTGTTATTAATAAAGAAAATAAGTAAATGCATGTAAAACTACGGTACCAGTGTTCCCTTCGTTGTCTGGTTTGTCTAGAGGGTATTCAGGCATGCACTCCAGGAACAGCTCAAAAATGGCAGCTGCGTTTTCTTTGCCGTACTGACCTAGCACGTGCATTGGTGACTGACCCCTGGAACAGGCGCACATGAATGTTACACTTCATTTCTAACTGTACTTCTGTTACGCCTCCGTTCTCAACTAAAAGTATACAGATCATACCTGAGATTGAAGGCCTCAGCATCAATGTTGGACTCCGTGAGAAGGGATCTGACGTTGTTCAGGCGGCCCTGCATCACAGCCAGATGCAGAGCTTGGAAAACAAGAGGCAGACAAAAGATTACAAGCCTCAATATGTTGGAGAAGTTTCATTAACAATTAAAGACATGTCTTGTTTCACAACTCATTTTTAAAAATCAGAAATAGCCTTAAATTATAACGCGACCATAATTTAGAGCACATCCCTTTGTTTAGTATTACCCCGAAACTTGACGGTTGATCTTTTTCTCACATTCAAAATGGTTTAAAGAGGAAAATTACACTTTTGAAATTAAAAGAGAAGCAAAAGCAAATTCACAAATGTTACAGAATTTATTTTATATGAACAAGCTGGGGGGTGGCACGGTGGATCAGCTGGTAGAGCTGCCACATCTCAGGAAGAAGGTCGCCAGTTCGAATCCCAGCCCTGGGCCTTTCGGGGTGGAGTTTGCATGTTCTCTCCGTGCATGTGTGGGTTTTCTCCAGGTACTCTGGTTTCCTCCCACAAAAACATGCATGTTAGACTGATTGGTGACTCTGAATGGATGGATCCAAAAGACGAGTTTAGGACAAAAGACGAAACGTTTCAAGGAAGAAGAGTCGGTCCAGAGAACCGGTTAGATTTATCTACTTGGAATATTGAGCAGGCATCATGATGCAATTGGCTTTATTTAACAAAAACTGAGCCAAAAAGAAAAAGCACAGGGTGAGGAAAAATAATCTAATTTCTTCCTTCACTGCTTCCATATGAATTAATTCATTCATTCAACCTTTATTTATAGAGGTTAGTCTCATTGAGCCTCGAGGACTCATTCACAAAGAGGCCTGCAGAAATGATGCTTTAAATTTAGTTGAATAAGGAGGGTAAGTAGCAGACAAGTGCTGCTGATGAGATGCACTGATGATCTGATCATCGTTATGTCTGAGCTCCTCTTTAGAAGCAGAAGGTTGGTCAGCTTTATGGTCTTCAGGTGTTTGGCAACACAATGCCATGAAACGCATCATTAAAGATCTCACTGTTGTTGCCCATCACCCTGGAAAACCAAACAATCTGGAGTCTGCGGCGAGACTGATGTAATCAAAGTGAACCACAATGAAGACTGTTGTCCTCCCATGATCAGGCAACTCAGAAAGTTCACACGGGCCAAATCTCAATCTTCAAAAATGTTTGAGAAAACAAAAAGTTTCTAACTCCCACTCATCAGGCCTGTTCAGTGCGTTAAATTATACATTAGTTAGGTAATGTTCAATTATTTTGTTCCTTATGTAATAAAATATTTATCAAAAAATATCTAAATTATTAACTTGCTGTCAAACGTTTCGTCTTTTATCCAAAAGACTTGTTCAGTTAAATTTGTTTATTTTAGTTATTTATTTAGTTTTATCCATCCAGAGGACCTGACTTAACTTTGTTAGATTTTTCTACCTGGATTATTGAGCATGAATCGGGATATTAACTTGGACTTCTTAAATACACATTTAAAACAAACGGCAAGAATGTGAAAAACTGAACCATCGGTTCAGTCCACTCCCTTAACAAACATGCAGAGAATATTTTTACACAAAGAGAAAACTTAGAACTGCTGAATAAATTGAAGTTTTGCTTAGCTTTTAATAAATCATGTGCTGTGTTGCAGAGGATGTTTATATAAAGTTATGGCCTGATAAGGACTTAATTAAATTGTACTGATACAGAAAACAAACATTTAAAAATTATGTTTTTGCCACAACCATTTCCAATATGATGAAAGGTTATTTTTGCACATGCACGTACAGCAGTCATAAAATACATGCTGCCAACAGGTTCTTAAGTGTCTCTGTGCTCGATGATCAACATCAAAATACGAACATTAAACATTCTGTGAATATATTGAATTGTGAATTATCATACCATTATTGCCATTCTCATCCTCAGCAGCAAAATCTATGCCATTCTCCAGCAACACAGAACAAATAGTGGCCAGGTCCTGCTGTGCAGCCAGATGTAGTGCTGTCTGCCGGTGTTTGGTCAGCTCATTTACTTTGGCTCCAGCAAGCAACTTGAAGTAAACAAACAAAGAAAAACAACATGGATGCCGCTGTGCTTTCAGAAACAGATCAAATATAAAAGATGGAGAAACTCAAAGGGGTGTCTACCAAGTTGCGGACAATGATCTCAGAGCCAGCCTGCACCGCCAGGTGGAGCGGCGTGAGCTTGGCTGAATCCTGAACCCTGGAGTTCACATTCGCTTGGACGCTGATGAGGAACAGGACACTCTCAATATCTGAGTTTTGAACAGCAACGTGGAGGAAGTTCCGCCCTTTGTTGTCAACCTGGACAGAAACACAAGTGTGAAGTTACAACAGATTAAAGCTGTTAGCTCTCAGTGCTACGGAGCCAGAGCCTTGCTTCCTGTGTCACCTGTTCGGCAGCACCTGGCTCCCTCTTCAGTATGGCTTCTGCAGCCTTATTGTTTTTGTGCGTCATGGCACAGGCAAACGGAGTCATTCCTTGGCGATCGCGAATGTTGAGCCGGATGTCGGGATGAGAAATGAGCAGCTGTATGATGACGTTGTGCTGGTTGCTAATGGCAGCGTGGATGGGAGCTCTGCCTTCTGCATCCTGACATAAAGGAGCACAAACAGCTTCAAAGTGCATCTGTGTCCACGATACTTCAGCTTTTATTAACGTTTTATTAACAGCTTCATGGAGAAAACCAAGTATCAGGTTTATTTGATGTGGCCAACCTGTGCATTAACATTGGCTCCAAACTCTAGAAGGCACTGCACCACCTCCTCCAGTCCCCAGCTGCTTGCCAGGTGGAGGGGCGTTTGTCCATCTCGGGCTTCTTCGTCTCCTTCCCCATTTGGACCGGGCTGCCTGGAGCTGTTCACGTCACAACCACTACACATGCACAGAGCAGTCAGTCAGATCAACACGACCATTTCACCACCAAGTTTACAGACGAGCGGCTTGTTTCAGTGCTGAACAACTCAGCCTCAGCTCATTTAAGACTGTACTCCTAAATGTTTTTATCAAAACAGAATGAGAATCTTAGCAATAAATCAGAAAACTACCATTTTATTTAAGATTAGTCAGTGCCATAACGCGTATTGTGTGCGTACTTATATTAAAATTTGGTTCAGACAACAAGGACTCTCAGCTCATGGAAATATGTGGAAATGTGTGAGAAAAAGCAGCAGACCTGCGAATGAGGAAACAAGCAGAGACCTCATTGTTCTCATCCACGGCTCTGTGCAGGAGAGTCTGCAGGCAGCCAGAGGGCCCCACGCTCCAGCAGGTGGCGTCACAACCATGTCGGACCTAACGGGCACAAACAACCTCAGTCCAAATAAAAAAAAACACCTGCTTAAAATTTACAGAAACAAAAAAGTCCTTAAAAACAGACATTTTACTCAGCCGCTCATGAAGGCAACAGAATTATTAAGCTGTAAACAATTTAATTTATTTGTTTTAATTTAAATTGTTGAAGGCAAGATGTAATGTATCAACAGCTGATATATTACTGCCAATTATTTTATCCATTTCCTTCAAAATACTTGTTTTATTAATTTCAATTTACAAAGAGCTAATCTACAAACACAAACCTTAAAAGAAAACGACACCCGAGTCATGAGTCAGTCTTAAACTTTACTTTCTAAAATAAAAAGAATTGCAGAAACCCATTCCTAATTCAACCTCCATCCACAAATGAAACGCAAGACTAAATCAGCTGCAAACAATAAAATTAAATAGTTCATATTTCTATAAAATCCATTGTTTTTCATGAAACATTTCTTAAACTGAACAATTATTTTTTAATGTCACCATCCAGATCATTCCTTATTTTGCCACGCACCGAGAAATTTAGTGGAGTTTGTGCAAATTAACGTAAAAAAATATTTCCTGCAATTCACATCAGTAAATTGAAGCAAATCATTCTGTTAATTATTTGGCAATCGTTCCCATCTAGCTTTATGATTAATAAAGTTATTCGGTGACCTAACATTTTGTTATATTTGATTGTTGGTTTGTTCTCTTGCATCCATTTAAGATTTTTAACACTGTTGCATAAATGTTCTTGTATTGCTCCTGTCTGTTCTGAGACACTTTTACAGACAGTTCAGAGGATGTTGTATCAACGAGAGAGAAAAAGGAGTTAAAAATGTCCACTATGCTTGGAACATATAAGAAAATTATACAGCTTTTGATGCAAGCAGAACTGTGTTCAAAAACAGAGCATTTTAAATGTTTTAGTAATCACAAATGATTAAAAAAATAAAAATCACACCTAAACCAAAGACTGAAGACAAAAATATAAAAACTTAATTCTGAAGTATGATTTTTAAAATGTTTGTATGTTTGCAATTCATCACACAGTTATTTATTTTCTTTCTTACCAATGTAGAAGCAATATCTTCCAGGCCATTCTCAAGGGCCAGCCACAATGGAGGGTCCCCTTTGTCATCCATCACCGACATATCAGCCCCTCTTGTGCAGATGGCATCTACCACCAGAGGCAGCTGGTTACTGATGGCCAACTGCAGAGCCGTTTGTCCCTCCTGGGTTCTGTTAGAAGACATCACTCCATAAATAACACATACATTTCTCCACCGCAGTATTTTATTTATACTGTCCTCAATATTCACAACATCCATTGTGTTAATTTTCATTTAAGGATTTTCATCCTTAAAGCCTAGACTGTTTAAATTATTAAACCAAATGTCCTTGCCTTCTCTCACTGTTGGTAAATCAAAGCCAGCAGGACCGAGTTTATGGGCACAACCATGTTGTCTTTTGTGTACCAGAGCCTGTGTGCTCAGGATGTGGGGGTTTAGGTCCCACCTACAGTGGGTCGATGTCTCGTCTTTTCTTCTCTCTTTTTTTAAACACGGGTATTGATCAAGGTGGACTGCTGTCTTCAGGTTGAGGGTGAGGTTCTGCCTCAAGTGGAGTTCAAGTATCACGGGGTTTTGTTCACGAATGAGGGAAGAATGGATTGTGAGATTGACAGACTGTGCAGCATCTGCAGTATTGCGGACTCTGTGCCGGTCCGTTGTGGTGAAGGGAGAGCTGAGCTGTAAGGCAAAGCTCTCAGTTTACCGGTTGGTCTAGACGGCGGGTTTCGTCCCATTTTTAGATCTGAGGGGACTTAACCAGTACCTAAGGGTTTTGCCATCCAACATGCTCATGATGTCCCCTCGTGACAGCTTGAATATCACGAGGGGAGAATGGTTCACGTCTATAGACCTGAAAGATGCTTATTCTCATGTGCCTATTGTGGCAGAACATCGCCACTTTCTCAGGTTTGCCTATCGGGGTCATCACTGGCAGTTCCGGGTACTCCCATTCAGGCTCCCTCTCTCCCCGAGGGTGTTCACTCAGTGCGTGAAGGCAGCCCTCTCTCCTCTGCAGGCCTACGGAGTGATGGTTCTGCTGTACTAAACAATTGATTTCTCTGCGCCCCGTCTCGGGCCTGTGCCTTTCGCGACATGAATCGCCTGTTCGCTCATGTGTCCCAGTTGGGCCATAATGTCAACCTGGAGAAGAGCTGCCTGATCCCTTCCCAGACGATCACTTTTCTTGGATAGTTCTGGATTCACCCTCTATGAGAGCTTGTCCATCCGCTCAAAGGGTGGGCGGCATACTCCAGTTGGTCAATCAGTTCAGGCTAGGCAGGCAGCTCCCCTACGTTGCCTTCCAGCAGCTACTAGGCAAACTGATGTCAGTCACTCGGGTGGTGCCCTTTGGCCCACTGTCACTTCACCCCTTGCAGAGGTGGCTCAACAGCTTTTGCCTGGATGCCAGGCTGCACAGGCATCACAAGCTCGCAGTGACATGGCCATGTCTTCATGCCCAGACTCCATGGAGGGACGAAGATTATTTGTCCAGGGGTGTCCCCATGGGAGTGGTAGTGTGTCGCAGGGAAGCGGTCACGACAGATGCCAGATCCATGGGATGGGGCGCTGAGTGACAACGCAGAGCGGTTCAGGGCAGCTGGGGTCAAAGGACTGCTCCAACCATATAAAGGTGCTGGAGCTGCGTGCAGTGCATTTGGTAATCAGGTACTTCTTGCCCCACCTGGAAGGTGGGGCATGTTCTCATTCGGTCAGACAACACCTCTGTTGTCTACCACATCAACCACCAGGGGAGCAACAGGTCAGCACAATTCTGACTGTGTCCAGAGAGACCTTGGAATGGGCCTTTCCTCACCTGTCCACCCTGCGGGCGGCATATTTACCAGGGCAACACAGTCGGGTCGCAAACTTTCTCTCCCACTATGGGTCTGCTCTGGGAGAGTGGTCCTTCCACAGCGACATAGTGCTGATGATCTGGGACCATTTTGGTCAGGCAAAGGTAGACCTGTTTGTGACAGAGCAGTCGACTCAGTGTCCCCTATGGTACTCCACTCCCGGGGCGTCGGGTGCGCTGGGCCAGGACGTATTGGCCCATCCTTGGCTAAGGGTCCTCCTATATGCCTTTCCACTCCTTTCTCTAATTTGGCCGATCCTTCAGGGAATCCTCGAGGAGGGCCACAGGATGCTGATGGTGGCTCCGTATTGGCCAGCATGACCATGGTTCCCACTGCTATGGAGTCTATGTCAAGGCGTCCCATGGTGTCTGCCGACCAGGAGGAACTTGCTGTCTCAATTGGGGGGACTGATATGGCACCCCAATCCTCAACATCTCCGGCTGTGGGTGTGGCCACTACAAGGCTAGGACAGCAGCTGACTGGAGTTTCGAGCCCCGTCAAGTGCATCATCCTGGGCACCGGGGCACCCTCTACTCATCAGCAGTACGAAAACAGGTGGTATCTGTTTTCCCCAATGGTGTTCTGATCACAATGAGGATCCAGTCTCCTGTACAGTACCCACCATTCTGGAGTTTCTCTAGTCTCTCCTTAGTAAGGGTTGCTCTCCTTCGACGCTTACAGTTTATGTAGCGGCAATATCATCTAATCACGCCGACATCGATGGCCGTACGGTGGGGAGCCATGATCAAGTCTCTCTTTTCTGAGTGGTGCCCGTAGGTTGTACCCGCCGACAGCTCTATGAGCACCAGGTTGGGATCTGCCCTTGGTTCTCGAAGCTCTGTACTGCCCTCCGTTCGAACCTCTGATGCAGGCGGACCCCAAGTGGTTTTCGTGTAAGACGACCTTTTTGTTGGCTATGGCCTCAGCAAGAGGGTCGGCGAGCTACATGCTCTCTTAGCTCCTCATGTCTCAGGTGGGGCCCTGAGGGCTCTGACGCTACCTTGTGGCCAAACACTGCATTTGTACCAAAGGTGTTATCTCACTCTAAATGTAACCAATCGTTGAGGCTGGCACGTTTTCAGCCTACACCTGGCAAGGGGTCTGGATTATTGTGCCTAGTGAAAGCACTAGAGACATATGTTGCAGTTCACCAATTGCTCTTGCCGAGATCGGACGCTTCTCCTCTCCCTCTCCGCTTTGCTTTGCTGCTCTGTCTGTCTGTCTGTGAAACTGCTTCTGAGCGTTTCTTGCATATCTTCCAAACCATAATTATGGACCTGTTTTGATCAGTTGGTCCCTCAACTCAATTTACATTTCCTCGAAGAGAAGACAGGCTTTAGGCGAGCCGATTTGCCCTGTTGGCATGCACGCAGCTGGATATCTCATTGACTTGAAGACTTGATGATATGTCTATCTCTGCTGCCATTTGTGGATTTTAAGGACACATATTTAATTGGATTTATGATAACCGTTTCTTGCTTTTTGTATTCGGCTGGTTGCTGGTTTTATCTACAATCAAGGAAGTCGTTGGCAGCAAATTTGGAACTGATCACGCTGCTTGCCTTTGTTCGTGTCTCGAGTAACCAGACTCAAATGCTTTGGGCAGAATGGTTCAGATCTCTGGGATTTTACTCAGTCATGTTCCATCGGTGTGGCCATGTAATTTGGACATTTCGGAACTGAGCAGACCAACACAGACTCAAGGTAGATGTCATTAAGTTCTGCCTGTCCCCAAAACAACTGTGTGTTTATCTGAATTTGGCTCCCTTGGCTGGGCTTGAAGGTCATCTTATCTGAATTTGCCTGGAGAACATGTGATCTGACGCTCACACACACCCCTCCCCCTCCCCCGAGGAATTTCCAACTGATAACCAGATGAAACCAGCTGAATAAACTTTGTGTCATCATTTCAGGACTCTTGGATTCTCATAGTCGTTATTCTTGGCTATTCCTCGACATACCTCGAGAATGTTTATGGATCTCACCGGAGGACATTGGCTGATTATTACATCTTTATCAGAACTCATTGTCACTATTTGCTTGTTTGTGCGAGGTGTTTTTTTAATATCTTCATGTGCCCAGTTTACCACTTTTATTGTCTGTCCAAATAGGTCTTACTTGTAAATGAGTCTTTGAGGCTCAATGTGACTTATCTGTTTAAATAAAGGTCGAATGAATGAAAAAAGTTACTGCCGTTATATGGTGTTCAGGCCAGCTGTTTGTGTTTTACAGAGGCCCTAGGTTAGGCTATCCTCTTTCCAAACAGCACCTCTCCCAATGGATGTCATCTGCCACGCCTACACCGCAGGGCACAGCCCCCTGCCGGTCGACATGAAGGCACACTCTACCAGGAGCATGTCTACTTCCTGGGCTGCCTTGAGAGGGGTTCCAATGAAAGCAATATGTGCTGCCGCATCATGGGCTTCCCCAAGCACGTCACCAGATTTTACAGAGTTAACGTGGCCACCCCTCATCCCCTGGGCCAGGGTCTTCTGCAAGGGTCCTCTGGGCCTCCTCAGGGAGGTGTGTGCTCAGGATTCCTTGTGACATCGTTGGTATTAGTCATTCAGTTCTTTCAGCACCGCCCTCTGGCGGTCAGTAGGGATGAAATAGAATGAAAGTTACGTATGTAACTACGGTTTTATAAATCCCGAATGACCGCCAGAGCTTCTCTGTCACTCAGAATCCTTGCATTCCACAAGAAGATTCTGTAGGAACAGAGCCGCGGATGACGCCAGGTTATATAGCCTCTGATTGGTCAACCGTGTCACACTTGTGACTTCGTTGGTATTACTACTCAAACAGTGCATGCACGAAGGGAACATTCAGTGCTTTCAGCACCACCCTCTGGCGGTCATCTGTGATTCATAGAACCGTAGTTATACAAGTAACTTTCGTTTCCTCTGCAGGGTAGCTGGACTCTCCCTAAGAGACAGGGAGAGAAGTTCAGTTATCCAGGAGAGACTGAGTAGAACCACTGCTCCTCCACTTGGAGAGGAGCCAGTTTAGGTAGTTCAGGCATCTGGTAATGATGCTTCCTGGGCGCCTCCTTAGGGAGGTGCTTTGGTCATGTCCGACTGGGAGGAGACCCTGGGAAGACCCAAGCCACAATGGAGAGACTATGTCTCTTGGTTGGTCTGGGAACACCTTAGGGTCCTCCCAGAAGAAATGGAAGAGGTCATTGTGGAAAGAGATGCCTGGACCTCCCTGCTCAAGCTGCTGCCCCCGTGACCTGACTTCAGAACAAGCGGAAGATAATGGATTGATGGATGGATGGTACTGATCAATTCACTTGCAAGGAGGGAACATAACTTAAAACTTGCACTAGAATCAGCCTGCAGGAAAGCTGGTCCCCTTTCAGCTTCAACTTCTGGGTTCCGGTCCAAAGTCTACCTAAAACAATCTATGGCTTAGATTTCAACATACAAGGTTTGCATAGATCATACTTGGAAAAGAAAATCCTACACAGTTTCTTTGAGGTGTCCCTACCTAAAACAGACTTTGTTCTGATAGGAGGATTTTTTTAAAGTCTCAAGAGAGACATCAGACCTGTGGCCTTAATGTTACAGCCATGCTGCATCTTCAACAGAAGACTAAAGAGAACTTTGTAATGTGCCGACACAAACCCATTCCAAGAGGAAAATAAAGTTTGCACACGGGTACATGATAAAATGCAAGTCTCATTTATATGCTTATCTCAAATTGTGGAAATGTCAATTACTGTAAATAAAAAAAGCTAAATAAACAACGTACTTCATAACTTGAACAGATTCCTGGTATTACCTGACGTTGATATCTGCCTGATGTTCAAGAAGAAAAAGGGCACTCTTGCTGTCCTGCCTTTGGATGGCCATGTGCAGAAGGGTTTGTCCGTTGGACATAGTGTCGTTGATAGCAGCCCCTGAGCCCAGCAGCTGAGCTGCTATGGTGTGCATACCTAGAACGAGGACAGAATGTACTTGGAAAAATACTCTGACAGTACAGAAAGAAGCATGCTTTACTTAGTCTCTATTGTTGTTGTCTACCTGTCCACAGGGCCAAGCCCAGGACGGTCTGGTCCATGGAATCTTTGAGACTGAAATCTGGAATGATCTGCAAGTTGTTGGTGGCATGAAGTGCATTGGCTGCAAGAGAACAATAAATACATCATTTTTATTTAAAGATGTTCATGTACGATTAAGACAACAAAGAGTAAGATAAATTAGAAATTACCCAACAGTTTTTAACTCTGTAATTGGTTTGTAAAGCTATCAAAACTTTTGCTGACCTTTTTGCTCCAAGATGACAGAGACAACATCTGGGTGGTTGTGAACAATGGCCATGTGGAGCGGGGTCTGCAGAGCCACGCCATGGGTGTCGTCAGGCAGAGCCTTCTGGGTCTGAAGGTTGGGGTTAGCCCCCTGCTGGAGCAGCTCGGCTGTCAGACTGGCCAGGCCACACCGACACGCTGTATGAAGGGGACTCTCACCCTGTACACAGGTCATGGGATTCAGGATGCATTTCATCCTATTTGACTTAAATGCTGATGTGTGAAAGTTTAGAAGTTCAGATTTATTTGTCATTCATTATGAATCAATAGGCATAATATAAAAAAAAGTTATAAAATAAAATTTGAAAAAATTGACGCAACTGTTTTTCTTTATAGCTGCTAGTAAAACATCTGCATTATTAAAAATTATGCCACTGGTCAAACAGGCAGCACAGTGGAGCAACTGGTAGAGCTGCTGCCTCTCAGCGAGCAGATCCCCAGTTCAAACCCCGGTCCAGGGGCCTTTCTGGGTGGAGTTTGCATGCTCTCTCCGTGCGTGCGTGGGTTTTCTCCGGGTGCTCCGGTTTCCTCCCACAGACCAAAAACATGCATGTTAGGCTGATTGGTAACTTTAAATTGTCTCTTGGTGTGAGTGAGAGAGTGAATGGTTGTTTGTCTCGTTTGTCTCCATGTGATGGACTTGCGACCCATCCAGGGTGTACCCCCGCCCCTCTCACAGTGATTGCTGGACATGGGCACCGGCGACCCCCGTGACCCAAAATGGAAGAAGCGGGTAAAGATAATGGATGGATGGAAGGTCATAAACATTGATTTGTTAGGCATCATATTATTAATCAATATAAGGTTTCTGTAATAAAGCTCAGAACTGAACCTGTTCTACAGACATAACACCTGTCCACTACAGTTCTGAAACTCTGCAGTTGTTTTGTTCATGCAACATTCAAACGTTTGTACGTACCCATTTGTTAACATGGTTGACCTTTGCCCCATGAGTTGCTAAGAAAAGAGCAGCTGCCTCGTTGTCTGTCAGAGCTGCTCTTTGTATAAGGCAGTTTCCTGTAAGGAGTAAAGGGAGATGAAGATATACCGTATTTTTCGATGTATACGTCGCACCTTTTTGAATGCCCTGCGACTTATACAGTGAAGTGGCTTATTTATGTTTTTCTCCACACTTATATCCCAATTTTTGGCTGAGATCTGACGATTTTATTCATTCCGACAAAGAAAATATTGAACAATACAATTTTCAACCACTAGAGGGCCCTAGAGTCATATGGCAAGCCAAGTGTCTCATTAATAGGTAAAAGTGGCTATTAATGAGACACTTGGCAAGCCGCCCAGGTGACATGTAGCTGATTTGACCATTAAAGTGAATTTATTAAGGAAAAGTTCAACTAAGACACACCTTTGCTATAATGTCAAGCAAACAAATAATTGTTTTTAAGTATTAATTTTGTGAATTTCTTGTTAAAGTCCTCCCGTGCATGCTCCTGCGGCCAGCATTTGGCAGCCAATAGATTTTTGGCACAACACCGGCCCACATTTCTGGGTTGTCAGCGGTGACGCGTAATAGATGCGACTTATATGGCGAAGCAACTTATTTATGTTTTTTCCCCCCACTTTATTAGACATATTTGAACTGATGCGACTTATACGGCGGTGCGACGTGTACGGTGGCAAGTACGGTACATGTGTCAGATGATCAACTACAATACAACTGTTACAGAACAGCACCTGTGGCAGTGTCAGGGGCGTCAGGATTGCTCCCTCTCTTAATGAGCTGAGCTGTGAAGCCATTCTCGTCAAACGAGGTGCCGTTCACAACCGGTGCGTCGTCCTCAAATGGGTTTACTGCGAGGTCCGAAGATATGGTGATGTGCTGCAGTGCCAGCCACAGAGCTGTGCTGCCTTCATGGTCCTTCAGTTCCAGGTCAAGCCTGAACATGAACAAATGAGTTCAGCTAGGCAGGGTTACAAATGTCCTTAATGCCAGTTAAGGAACCATGAAATGAACGAAACATGATCACACTGTTAAATTATACGTCAAATTAACCGATTAATTCAAAGACGGATCATAACTCACTGTTTGCACTGCAGCAGCTGGTTGAACACTGCCTCGTTCCCAGACGCCACAGCTTCATGTAATGGAGTCCTAAAGAGGGCAAAAGACACAGCTGAAGCACCATCGTGTGTTGCACCGACGTTAAACACGTGAAGAACCCAAAGAGACTCAAACGTTGGGTCACGTGACCTACCTGCCTCTGCTGTTCTGCATGTTGGGGTTGGCTCCAGCTTTGAGCAGAGCCTCTGCGATCCGCGCCATGCTGCTCATCACCTCTGCAGAGTGTTTCTTGGGGCTGAATGAACAGACCAAGTGAAGTGGGGTTTCCACGGCCCCCACTGTGGACGCATTCACCTGAGCCGAGTGGCGAACCAGGAAGATGGAGGCAAATTCATCACCTGAAAGAAGGAAGAAAAATCAAGTGTCACAAATTAAAACATTTTATTTGATCAATCAAGGTAATGTTCAGTAACTCAGTGCAAACAAAATGCTTTGAAATACTGTAAAGTGAAAACTTTTTACCAACAGACTATAATGAAACACACAAAGGTGGGCAGAAAGCATCACTCCTAACCTCTTTGGATGGCTTTATGCAGGAGGCTCCAGCCACTCTGGTCCACCATGTCCACATCAGCTTTGCTGTTCACCAGAGTGGTGGCGATGCCTTCCAGTTTACGGCAGAGCGCCAGGTCCAGTGCAAGGTCACCATTATTGTCCAGTTCGTTTAACTTGCCTGGTAGCTGTGGGGGGAGCAGTAGAAACAGGAAAGAAGGATTTATTTCTCAGTAAAGCGTACGTCTTTATTTCTGTAAGAAGGCAATAAATAAATGATTTAAAAGCCTGCCTGTGAATCCATCTCAATGAGATACAGAAAGACCACATCTTCACGCTCCACTTTGATGGCTTTATGGAGAGGAAACTCCGTTTTAGACTTGATCATCTTGTACAGAAGTTGGGCACTCATGGTACTGAAATCTTCTTTCCGTAGATCATCCTGATGAAAGGCAGTCAATGAAAAAAAAAAAAAGAGTCAAACATGAACAGAAAGGAATAATCTAAAAATAATAGTCATAACATAAAAAGCAAGGTTGAAATTGCCATTTTATGCTTTTTTAGAAACGTCGTGGTATCTAAAATACCAAATGTTTTATATAATCGACTTTGATTGTACTCTTCCACCATGCAACAGGAATGCTGGACAAAAGACTGATATTTTTAGAGGGATGAAAACCTGGAACTCTCTTCCTTCATCTTTGTTAAATTAACAACTGCTAGAGCTTTTTAAAGAGCCCCGCTCAATTATTTTATTATATAAAGTGTTATAATTACACATTTATGAACTAATTATCATATTGTGCTATGTAACTAATCTTATATTAAGTGTGTGTAACTGTCTTTGTATTAAATGTTTTTTGTTTTTTTTGTGATGTGGACCCCAGAAAGAGTAGCCACTGTTACAGCAATGACTAATGAGGATCCAATAAATAAATAAATAAATAAATAAAATAACACAAATATGATCCAACCAACAAAAAAAAAAATGAAAACAATGTAATATTCTGGTTAATTCCATAAATCCCTTTTTTTTTTATATGTTTTTTTTAAGTAAATGATGAGAAAAACCAGACGGATGGAAGCTCACATCACCTAAATTTATTCAATCCACCCTTGAGACAAAATATATACGTGCAAATCCAGAACGCTAATGTCTCAAAGTCATCTGTTGCTGCTGTGGCAGCAAACGAACTAACAGTATAATTTCTAACCTGAAATATACTCGACAAGTGAAGGAAATTTGCATCTAAATTTGGTGAGATTTTTTTAGAAAGAGATGGAACTTGTGAAAGGACACTGATCTGATCCATAACAAAATAATAATCATTAAAAAAAAAAACACAACAGATGTTAAAGTGTTGATGGTTTCTGAAGAAAAACAACAAAACTGTAGTTTTTAGGGCTAAAAACAACGTTGGATCCAGCAGTTCAACCATCTTGTCAGGCCTTCAGTTTCCTGGATGGTGTTGAAGGTACTGACCCAGTGACTGGCTATGATCTCCCCACAGTAATTCATTAAGGTGGAGGCATTTAACTCCTCCGCTGTTTGGTAGAAGCGAATGCAGTTCCTAACATTCACCGAAGACATCACACCTTTTTCACACCTGTTAGGCAGAAGAACAGATTCATTTGATTTTACTAATACACATTGTAAAAAAAAAAGGTCTGCAGCCGATTATCCTGCGACCAGCGACAAAGACTGGCTCCAACCTCTCTCGGAGCAGCTGGAGCTGGAAGCGGTTGGCCAGCTTCATCAGGTCAATTAGAAAGGCGTCGTCCTCGCTGAGCTCCAACTCGTCCGTGTACGCCCAGCACAGCATGGCCATGGCTACTTCAGGTTTGCAGTCTGACAGGACAGAAAGTTTACATTCCTTTACTTTACTTGAATGTTAGCTTGTGAACTTAAATGACAAGAGTTCATGAAAACAAATTCAAACTTGAAACACTAAACTTGCATTCAGGCATAAAAAAATCTGGCCCGGCCTCGGAGGGTTTTTTTTTTTCCCCAGCCCGACCTGGACCCGACAGATTAACTGTAATTACAGGCCCGAACCAGAATTTTATTTATTTTTTTAATTAAGCTTTTACTGCTTGTGTAAGCAAATCAGTTTGACATGATATTTTAAAAACATATTTCAAAGAAAGGACATAAGATTTCTTGTTTCACCAAATGAACATTAACATACAAAAAAAAAAAAAGAATAACCTAAAAAACAACAACTGTAAAGATGGGTTACTTTACAGATGAACAAAAGATTTTTAGAGCCAAATCATTTGTAAAAATATAGAACAGGACCATTTCAATTGAACGTGCTGCTCGCTTTGGCTTGTAGGTGTTGCTACTTCCTTCATTCAGACGACAGCAGGGGAGGAGACAAGTGGCGGGTGGTCAGCGGATCCATCGGAGCCTAACTGGACATTTTTTTAACCTCTTTGAATCGGCCGATCGGACCTGCCTCCTCCTCAACAAGTACATTAACACAGCTTCATACTGTGTATTCTTATTTAGTTTTATTTGTGCTGTATGATTCATAAAACTGCACCACAGCCACAGACCGACACGGCCCGCCCACCCAGCGCATCGTTTTGGCCCGGCCGGGACTCCAGGTCGGGTCGGGCCGTGCACGGGCTGAAAGGACGGCGCTGCCCTGAATAAGTAACACGAAAATGTTCTCAGAGCAACTACTGAACTTTGACGGTGCGTTACACCCCAAAACAAACATTCTGTTGTTCATTAATCAAACTGTGTGTACTGACAGAACAGAGTGTGTGTGTGTGTGTGTGTGTGGGGGGGGGGGGGGGGGCATCTGGACTTTCATTCTGCTTAATTCCACCTGTGGTAACACACCTACAAACTGTGGTTCTGAACTTTTAAATCTAGCTTTTCTCTTCAGCCTCTGTACATGTAAAGAGACTTTTAGGTCATCTGACCCCCCCCCCCCAAAAAAGGTCTCAAAATGTTGGGGGGGGGGGGGGGTGTCTTCACTTCTTTTGAGTCGCAGAGGCTCACGGTCTTGTCATTTACATTTTTTTACAAGCTCAAAACATTTGAGACGATTTCTTCTTGAATTAGTCGCAGAATTCTCCGACGTTTCAAACCCTGCTCAATCTTTGAGCACTCTCTGGAATTTAAATCACAAATGATGTATTTTGATGCACATGGGAGATCTCCTTACGATAGAAGGGATCTGTTGCTATACAGCGGCGCTTCAAAGTTTGAACTCTTTATAATTTTCTGTATTTCTGCATAAATTTGACCTAAAACTTCATCAGAGTTTAACACAAGTTCTAAAAGTAGATAAAGAGAACCCAGTTAAACAAATGAGTTTAAAATGTTATACTTGGTCTTTTATTTATCGAGGGAAATGATTTAATATTACATATCTGAGTGGTAAAAGTATGTGATCCTTTGCTTTCAGTATCTGGTGTGACCCCCTGCGCATCAGTAACTGCAGCTAAACCTTTCTGGTAACTGTTGAGTCCTGGTCACCTTGGAGGAACTTGAGTCCACGCCTCCGTACAGAACAGCTTCAACTCTGGATGTTGGTGGTTTCCTCACATTAACTGCTGCTTCAGGTCCTTCCACAACATCTGGATTGGATTAAGGTCAAGACTTTGACTTGGTCGTTCCACAACGTGAACTTTATTCCTCTTGAACCGTTCTTTGGTAGAACATCTTGTGTGTTTAGAGTCATCGTCTTGCTGCGTGACCCACCTTCTCTGGAGATTCATGGACAGATGTTCTGACACTTTTCTTTACAATTCTCATTGTTCCATCAATGATGACAAGAAGTCCTGGTCCAGATGCAGCAAAACAGGCCCAAACCATGATACTACCACCACCATGTTTCACAGATTGGATCAGGTTCTTCTGCAGGAATGCAGAGTTTCTCCAAACATAAAACTTTTCATGTTAACTAAAGAGTTCTATTTTGGTCTCATCGTCCACAAAACATTCTTCTGGTTTGTCCACGTGATCTTTATCAAACTGCAGACGAGCAGCCATGTTCTTGTTGGAGAGCAGTGGTTTCTCCTTCAACCTGCCATGAACACCATTGTTGTTCAATGTTCTCCTGGTGGTGGACTCATGAACATCAACATTAATGTGAGAGACCTTCAGCTGTTAGAAGTTACTCTGGGCTCCTTTGTGACCTCGCTGACTATTCCACACTTGAAGTGATCTTTGTTGGTCCATCACTCCTGGGGAGGAGAACAATGCTCTTGAAGTTCCTCCATTTGTCCACACTGTGGACTGGTGGAGTCCAAACTCTTTACAGATGTTTTGTAACATTTTCCAGCCTGATGAGCATCAACAACTCTTTCTGATCTCCTCAGAAATCTCCTTCGTTCCTCCATGATCCACTTCCACAA